CAGAAAAGCCACCCTGTTATCATGGTGTGGTGTATTTGTTAAATCAAGGGAAGGAGAACATTTGGTTGTGGTTAGAGTGCAAATCCCATCAGCTCTACCAGGCATAATTTATAGTGAAGAGAGATGTGAGTTGCTTCCCAACAACTTCTGAAGCAAAGCTTTTGAAATATTTCATTTTAGTGACACATATCCATCATTTTGTGAGCTAGTAATTAAGTTTTACTAGCACACCAGAGGTTAAACTAGCCCCTTATAAGAAACATACACATATGTAAATTACAATAACAAACTGTATGGGAACATACCACATCTTATGAAAACCTTTCATTTATATATTTTTTAAAATATGATTTGTTGATTTCACATAGACATAGAGGTTTCTTTTAATGGCTGTAAATAATCCTATGAAGTAAAACCTTGCAGCATGGGCAAAAACATTCTATTCATTCTTGCCTGTAAAGAATGAAGATTTATATCCATACTAATCATACTTATGCAATAAAGAAAATAATTTCAGGGCCAGCAGACAACAGTTGTCCTGCTTCAATAGGCTTTTGGTGGGTAATTTTATTTTCTGCATTTTTGAGCCTCCTCACACAATTGGTTGTTGTTTTGACAAATTGTGATGCTATTTTTGATGCTAACCATGTGCTTTTTGTTTATTTTAATACACAACCATGTGCTCCTTTTTTGGCTCAGAATAAACATGGTTTGGGATGCTTTCTCAGATTGTTCAGATGATGCCATCTTTGGCAGCAGGGTGTAGCAGATAACTTTGTATATAAAATATACAAAGGGAACAGACTACCTTGGAAGGTGATGGACTCTCCTTCACTTGAGGTTTTTAAACAAAGCATGGATGGGTAGTTCTCAGGGAAGCTTTCACCATCAGCTCCTGTGTAGGTGGTTCTGAGAGTACCTTCCAACTCTATGCCTGTGAGTTTATATGTGGCTGAGAAAGAATCTGTCCCCAAGTATTTCTGGACTTGTTGCTTTTCACTTCTTGAGGAAATATTACCCTGTAAGAACAGATAGACAGGCAAACATTTAGGTAGTGCATTTTGCCCCCTCAGCATGGAGTTGCAATGACAGGAAAAACCAAAACCCTTTAAATTACATTCTGTTCCAAAAGTGTCAAAGGTACAGGATTCTCCAATTGGAAGAAAAATGAGCAGGAAATCTTAAATGCCAGAGCCCTGACCTCGTTGTCATCAATTATTTTAATGTCTTCCTCCTTTACCCATTCAGGTTAAGTGGAAGGGATTATAGAGGAACCAGGAAAAACAACTGGCAGGTTGCAAATCCAATCCCAACTGGTTTCTTCAACAACCCTTAGATTCATATCCCACAACTCTATTTATTTATTTTTATTCTGCCTTTCTCCCAATACAGTGACTCAAAGCAGCTAACAGAAGATATGACACAACATTGTTAAACAAAGCCTTATGATATTAATATATAAATTAAAAAAATATTGCATCTTTTGTGTCATGGAACATTAAAATACATTTAAATCTACAATTAAAAACTACACACACACACACCCCTCTCAAAATCCCACTCAGGCCATCTCCAGAAGGGTGCCTCTCATTATTCTGTAAATCCCTGATGTCAGAGGTGAAAGGCAAGCAATGATGGGCCATCCTGGTCTATCTTTTTCAGTGTCTGGGAACAGTCACTGAAAAATCCCTCTCCATTGTTTCCACCAAATGTCTTTGAGCAGGTGGTGGGGCAGAAAGAAGGCCCTCTTCAGACGATCATAGCATTCTAACATTCATGCAAAGAGATATGCTTCAGCAGATCACCTGGCTCCAAGCCATATAGGTCTTTATAAGTCAAAACCAGCACTTTGAATTATGTCCAGAAATAGGTTGGCAACCAGTGGGGCAATTACAACATAAGAGTTGCATGCCTCCTGTAGCCAGCCAGTTAATAACCTGATTGCCACTCTTTGGACCAACTGAAGCTATTTTTAGCACATAGAGCACATTGCAGTAATACAAATGGGCTATAACAAGGTTATGTGCTTGACCCATTTAATAGGACAATAAAGTCCCCTACACAGAGGCAACAGAACCTATCTAGACCCTAAGCAGTGTGTCAGCAGAGGCACTTCCATTTTAGTGCTTGAACTGAGATGGAACAGGTTTCCTGGAGATGTTGGCAGGTCTGGGTTACAGCTCAAATGATATGTAGCATCAGTTTTGTATACAGGAAGTCCCAGAGCCAAGCTGCAAAGATTCCTGATTTAAATTCTGGAAAGCTACTGGTGATCCAAAGAGACCAAGAATTGATCACCTATCAATGCTTGTTCAGACTGATAGGAATTGAAGTCTACTATCTGAGAAGCCACAACCCCGAGGGTGTAGATCACAGGTGGGAATGGTGCAGTCCAGTAGATCCCGTTTCACTGCAAGCTATCAAAGCTCTAGGCATCAAAGCCAATGTTGAAAAATGTTGTCAATTGTATTTCACAAACATCAATAGGACCATAATATTCCCTCTTCTGGTATAATCAAGCAATGGACCAATAGTGTCATCAAGGAATGTTCTGCATCTTTTTTCTCATCCCAGCACTACCACATACATACAAAAATAGATAAGATTCTGTGACCCTCTCACTACAATCCTAGGTCTGTGAGACTTAAATCTTGAGCATGTTGTGTAAGAACACACATTTCTTACTATTTACAAAACATCAAGGCCCAAAGGCAACTGGAGTAAACTCCTTAAATCTACAAGAAACTGATAAAACACTGAGATGAGTTCTATCAATTTTAGGGGTCTGCTGTAGTTGGCAATATCAACTGGCTTTATGACTAAGCGTTTTATTTATGCTCAGAAACAGCAAAAGTCACCTCTCTCATATATTCTATTCATATTTGGAGCTAGAAACCTTGAAGGTTTGTTATTTCACCTGTGTCTGTTGCTCAAGCTACGTAGAGTGCTTACAAGTATTTTTGGAATTTTCTAGTTTTGCCATACATCCAGTTTACAACAGAACTTCTTTACGGTTGCATTCTAACTTTCCCAGGAAGCCACTGAAAAATTCCATAAAATGGTCTGAGCAGTCTGGCACAGGGATAATCCACACCATCATCAGAAGGTTGCACCACCAATTCTCATAAAAAATAGCTTTTTCATCTTATGGCTCTAACAGTGTTTCTCAGCTTTCCTAATGCCATGACTTCTTAATACATTCCTCATGTTATGGTCACATCCAACCCTGACATTTTCTTCATTGTTACTTCATCACTGTGATTTTGCTACTGTTATGAATTGTAATGTAAATATGTGATATGCAGGATGTATTTTCATTCACTGGACCAAATTTGGCACAAATACCCAATACGCCCAAATTTGAATACTGGTGGGGTTGGGATGGGTGGTTTTGTCATTTGCAAGTTGTAGATGCTGGGATTTATAGCTCACCTACAGTCAAAAAGCATTCTGAACTCCACCAACAATGGAATTGAACCAGATTCAACACACAGAACTCCCATGACCAACAGAAAATACTGGAAAGGTTTGCTGGGCATTAACCTTGAGTTTTGGAGTTGTAGTTCACCTACATTCAGAGCACTGTGGACTCAAAAATAATGGATGTGGACCAAACTTGGCATGAATACTCAATATGCCGAAATGTGAACACTGGTGGAGTTTGGGGAAAATAGACCTTGACCTTTGGGAATTGTAGTTGCTGGCACGTATAGTCCACCTACAATCAAAGAGCATTCTGAACCCCACCAATGATAGAATTGGGTCAGACTTCCCACATAGAAACCCCATGACCAGACCAATAGAAAATACTTTATTTTCTGATGGTCTTTGGCAACCCCTCTGACACCCCCTCATGACCCTCGCAGGGGTCCTGACCCCCAGGTTGAGAAACACTGTTCTAACAGAACTCAGCTCCCTTGTTCTCCAACCCAAAAGACTTATCTACACTGTAGAAAAATGATGAACTCACCTTGTAGGTGCTACGATCCTCACACAACATTCTTGACAATTCAGTTTGTAATACTGCTCTTTGAGCTTTAATTTTGTTCAAAAACCTTGCATTACTCAGAAGTTTTACAGAAAATTTGAATTTTTTGGCCTTTGGACAGCTCTCCAGGAAGTTGCGCTTCGCTGTAAAATTGGAGGAGTTCGTGGTAGGTAGGACTGGTTGGTTAGAAGTGATCATACCCTCCAGGAAACATTTTTTCCATGTTGAATTTTAATTGTTTAATAAGGCATGTATGTATGCACAGATACCTGCATGTCAGTATATTAGTATTATCATATCCCACTTAACAGAAACTACATATATTCATGTGCATGATGGTTGCATGGCCAAAAAATAATGCAAAGGACTGGAAATGTAGACCACCATCTAACAAGGACAATGGTACAGTCATTAATGCTGATCTCACTACAATGTGTGTGATGTGCCTGGCATTTACAAGATCACTGCAAAATCAATGAGGACTGGGAAAATGCAGTGTCAAACATGTTTTGTCAGTGTACACAAGTACAGGAGGTGGCAAATTCCAGGAATGGTTTATTGCCCCAATAGGTTCCCCGAAATAAGGGTTACAATGTGGATGTAAGCAATCCACATTAATGTTGAATCACAAAGAATTTCAGCTCAGAAATCCAGTCTTGAATTTTAGCCCATTTGAATCCACTTGGATAAAGTGGGATTACTTTGTAATTTTACTAGAATTCACACAAGTAAGAAGTTACATAGTTATTTATAATGAGATAGATTTGCTATTTAGCCATGGAACATCACTGGGAGACCTGATGCAAGCTCCAGCCGCCACTTCAGATGGAGGCAAGAGAGAAACAGACAACATCACAACTACCCCCAATAAATTGTTATAGCAGGGAAAATGTTGCTTCAGAAAATGTTGGTTCCAAGCTCCATGACACCTGGTCCCTCTTCTTGGTAGAACAGTCAAGAGTTGTAAGGAAAGGATAGATCTGAGTCTGAGAACACATTGCAAAGACAGGAGTTTGGAAAGCATTTTCAAACTTTATTTACAGCTGTCACAGTGACAAAAGTAGTTTGAAAAAATGCTAGCTTTTTTCCCTGAGGCTCCAAAAAGAATTTTTACAGAAATATAGAATGTAATATACAACAGGAGAAATTCAATTGGAGTGCTTTGTTCTTCCACATTCAAAAGTGACAGAAATACAAGCAACATTTTGTTTTAAAAAAGAGGCAAAAAAAGGATACGCAAATATTTAAAGACAAACAGCATTTCCACTCTTAAGCATTAAGGACTTTTGCTTTTCGAAGTGGCTAACATTTGACAACTTCAAACCTGGGACAAAAAAAAAATCAGAAAGTGAAAAGTAATCTTCAAAGGGGAGGAAGTAGGGTGGTTGAGAGGGTGGTGTGCAGGAATAGCAATTCATTCTATTGAACAGCAAGACAAGAACAGATGTCAAAGATACAAGACCATAAAACATCTGGATCCATTGGTTTTCAAGCAACCTTGGCTAGATCAGGATGCAAAATACACTTCAGTGAGACCAAGACAGGTAGTACATGTGCGACAAGTTCTTGGCTGCCAAAAGAACACACAAGAACACTCAACTCCTACATTATTCCTACATTATACTTTAAAAAACAAACTCACGCAGAAGTCTGTAACCTCACAACCACATATAACAATGACTCACAGCTGTTAAAAAGTTATTGCCATTATGTTAAAAACACAAGCAAGACAAGACTGGAGGAAGATATCCTGCTGATTTGAACAAGCAAATTCCTCTAACTCCCTTATCAGCATTTTTTTTCAAAAACTACTCATGAGGTATCAAATACAAGTATATACACTTAAAAGTCCCCATACTTTTCTTTAAAATAATAATGAGCCAATAAACAAGGGGTGTGGGAAAACTTTCTGAATAATCTATTAAGGCTGTGACATATGCTTTACATCATTTTAGTGTCTCCAGAATTGAAATGGAAGTCATTACTTTTGATTTCTCAGAGTGGTCCTGTCATATTATGAAGTCATAGCAAAGACTTCCACCAAAGTCAGATGGTGCTTTCCTAGAAATCTGCAAGTTTAGCTTATCCTGCAAGTTGTTCTTGTCCTGAGAGAGGAAGAATGGGGCAAAAGGAAGGAAGGAAGGTCATTCCTGGAAATTTAGGCTTGAGAACACTACACCCATTGATAGATTCCACACGTGTTAAAAAAGCACGTTATCTTCTCTACTGTACTGAGAGAAAGGAATTTCTAAAAATATATATTTTGAAGAGAAGGCCCTCTTTCCTTTAACTTGTACTATCTTATATTTAAATGACTTCCAAAGTTGTAAGTAAGAAACCATTGGACCAGGCTGGCTTCTGGATTGAAATGAAAAATGAGTCCTTGATCCATCTTTGCCCACGACTAGACCAACCTTACCAGCACTGGAGAAGCTGGGGTTTTATAGGAACCAAATGCATAATTCTCAAAAGCAACTTAGGCAAATTATTCTTCATGTCAAAAATCTCTTGAAGCTTTTTAAACTCTCCTCCCATCCCCACTTCAGGTTGGACTTTGGCTGTTTTTTTTAGATCATGGGTAGAATGAACAGGACTAGACATGTGGCAAAGGACTGTTACATAACATTAGCAGTTCCGGGCCAACACAATGTTATTCTACATTGCAAGTCCAAAATACCTATTTTAAGAACAAATGGCAGGGAGGGAGAAAAGAAAGAAAAGACAACTTGTATGCAGCTCTAGAAAATGCTGAACTGGGGAAGATTATTGATCCATTGCTCCTCTATGCTGGTGATATCATTGGAGCATGTCAGTGGCATGTTACCATATCTCCCATCCCCAAACACATATGTACACGTGCACACACATTAAAACAGAAGCATTATAAGAAGGCAAAGTTTCAAGAGATGAATACTAGTCTCATACTTTTGTGGCCGGTGGCAGTTTCTTACATAAATGCAGCTACATTTTTACACCTTGCAGTCATTTCCTCTGCTCCACACACTTCAGAACAAAAAAAAGAAAAAGTGTGTTTCCTGCCCATATATTCTTTCACCAAAGCGACCTGTAACTTTACGACTGCCCAGATAACCACAACGTAATTCAACAGCAATCTTAAAAAAGAGCAGCCATCCCTTCTCTCTGTCTAACTTTCTTCATTAGTTTCATCTGGAGATTGTCACATCAAGCACTTCAGTTCTCAGTTGAGAGTATGAAAAAACTAAGTTCTTGCAGGTGCAAGATTGAATGTCTTTTGTAGAAAAAGACCTCCCAGAACAGTTGTTCTCCTCCCTCAAGATGGTTTGCATCTTAAGTAGTACAGATGGGTTGTCTGTGCCATTTATTGCTCCTTGTTCTCTTGCTTTGCTTCGTCACAATTTTCTTCCTCTTCATCCTGAACCAGGAACTCCTCAGGTGGCCATCTTAACTCTCCACTCTCCACGTCCCCATCTGTTGGCTCCACCACAATCGAAGGCAGGCGGTCCTTCAGCTTACAGTAACGATCAAAGTCGGAAGGGTCAGGGAAAATCTGAGGGGGAAAAAAGACAATGTTTCCACTGAACTCTTTGATATACTTGATATTTTGCTCTAATTTTATCATAACTTTTTGATGTATACAATGTCTGGTTCAAGAAGCATGAGGGTTGAACATATTATTAACCATAGGTCCTTCAACATCCATGATCTAACACTATTCTTGTTATATTCATACTGACTTTGCTTAATATATAAAAAAATAACTAAGGTATAAGTAGGCCCCTTAACACAATGCCTGCTTCCATACATTCACAAAACTCAGAAAAGTTACTTTGGATAACATCTCCTAGGCACCCAAAACCAACATGAAATCTTTCAGAACTGTATCATCCCTCTACAAGGTTTCCATTCAAATCTATCAATGGCAGATGCCCCTGAACATTAGGCTGACAGAAATGAACAAGGAGAGTAAGCGGTGCTGCAGAGTGCACATTACTGGGATGTATATACACACACACCCCCAAGTACTCACAAGGAAATGCAGCATGCCACAAACAGGTTCTCCACTCACCTGCCCCTTAGTTCCTGCAACTACAGGCTAAATCCTTCTGATACTTAATAGTCTCTAAAACAAGCATGAGCAACTTCAGCCCTCCAGGTGTTTTGGACTTCAATGCCCATAATTCCTAACAGCACTTCCAGATGCTTTGAGGCAGCTTAACTCATTTCCTTTTGTTCGGAAAATACCACTATGATTGTGCCCCTTGTAACAACTACAGATTTTTCTCCACACTGGTTAAGATAATCGGGATTGTAGCCAAACATGCCTGGAGAATATGGGATAGGCTGCCTTACTTTTCATTGTAATTGCAAAATGATCTCCAGGTACTGTCAGACTGCAGCTTCTGTTATCATTTACTAGAACCTACAGCAGTGGTTTCAACCTGTGGGTCCCCACATGTTTTGGCCTTCAACTCCTGGTAAACTGGTTGGGAATTCTGGGAGTTGTAGGCCAAAACACCTTGGGGACCCACAGGTTGAGAACCACTGGCCTATAGTAACTGGAGTTAATGCGAACTGTTGTCCAATATCATCTGCAGCACCACACCTTCAGGTGTTTCCTGCAGCAGAACCTACTGAATGCAAGATACCTGTGGGTACAAAAGAATCTGATACACTGTATCTGTCCTAGTTGTATTTCAAGAATACTTGTATAAGAGAAACTGTATATACAACACGAAGCACAGACAATCAGAGGCATTTCTCCAAAGCTATTTGGGCCATCGGTACCTGTGTCCCAACAGCAAACCTCCAGTGTCTAAGCAACTGTAAGAAGTGAATGCTAAGTGAATCATTTTACTTGAATGCTAAGTAAAAAGTGATCAGCAAATCATCCCAAGTTGAATATTTTAGAGGCAGAGTGTTTACTCAGATATATATCCTGTAGCAAAGCGCCTTGTGAAGCCACTCTAAATTGAGAAAGCTAAAGCAATAATTTTGTGCCAAAAATGTTGACCTACAACCCTCAGAATTCCTTACTACTGACCAAGTCCAGGTATTTTTCACTCCACTAGTCCTGCTGTTATTGTGTATCTTCAAGTTGTTTCCAACATAAAGTGATCCAAAGCTAAAGCTATCACAAGATTTTCTTGGCAAGAAGTTTATTCAGAAGTTTGCCCTCTGAAGCTGAAAATGACACTTGTCCAAGGTCATAGAGTGGGTTTCCTTGGCTGAGCCCAACATTTAAACTACTACACCATGCTGACTCTCACCAAGACATTATAATTGTGCCTGTTATGTTGGTTGATTTCCGAGATGCAACTTTTCAGTCATAGCAGCAATACAATGCTGGACTAGAAAGTCTTTTGATCTGATCTAGCATGTGTCTGCGTTTGCACCTTTGTGTTCTCCTAGCTCAGTGAGTCCCAACCTGTGGGTCCCCAGATATTTTGGCCTTCAACTCCCAGGATTTCTGGGAGTTGTAGGCCAAAACACCTGGAGACCCATAGATTGAAAACCACTGCCTAGCTAGTCTTTTCCAACCAAGATTTCTGAATATTTTGGACAAACATACCCATAATCCCTAAACTAATTTGGGATGAGAGAAATTTTTGTCTGATGTGTACCAGGCTGGGCAACACCAGAATTAAATAGTAAAAAAGATAAAATATCTAGGGATAACCTTAGCGGCAAAAAACCTGCACCTGATGAAAAATAACTACGAAACAAAATGGTGTGAGATAAACAAAGAAATAACCAAATGGAAGAACCTAAAACTGTCACTAATAGGAAGAATATCCGCCATTAAAATGGTGGTGCTGCCCAAACTCCTCTTCCTTTTCCAAACTATCCCTATCATAAGAAACCTCCAAACAATCAAGAAATGGAACACAGAAATCAAAAAGTTTATATGGGCAGGGAAGAAACCCAGAATCAAATACGAATACTTAATTGACAGGAAAGAAAGAGGAGGGCTGGGACTACCGGACCTGCAACTTTATCACGATGCGTGTGGCCTACTGTGGGTAAAAGAATGGGCCAATATAAACAGAATAAAAGACTTGACACTAGAAGGCCATGACCTGAGGAGCGGCTGGCATGCATACATATGGTATGCAAAAAGATCGATTGAAAAAAAATTGGCAACCATTTTATTCGGTCCCCCCTGATCAAAATATGGGAAAAATACAAAACTAAATTCAACTCAAAAATTCCCCTCTGGGTGTCACCACTCGAAGCAACACAAAGGAGGGAACTAGGCTGGGAGAAATGGCCCTGCTACAAGGATATTTTAACGAACAGAGAAGAATACAGAATTAAGACTTTAGAAGAAATAAGACTTACATATGGCGAGATCACATAGTATCAACATAGACAACTAATAGAAGCTTTCAACAAGGATAAAAAAGTGGGCTTTGAGCAAGGAGAAAAACAATGGGATAAAATCATGCGTACAGAGAGAAAAGGGATTACCAAAATTTACAGGATACTATTGGAATGGAAGATGGAGAAACATCAAAACAAGAATTGTCTTGCGAAATGGACAAGAAATATAGGGCATACAGTAAGAACAAGAGACTGGGAAGAGATATGGAATAAAAAGTTAGAATGGATAAATTCATACGATCTGCGAGAAAATTGGCTTAAGATGATGTACCGTTGGTATATAACACCCAGTAAATTAACAAAATGGTACAAAAATGTCCCAGGGCTATGTTGGAAGTGTCAGATAACGAAGGGAACCTTTTCCCACTCCTGGTGGGCCTGTGACAAAATTAAAAGATTCTGGGAGGAGATACACGATATAACAAATAACATATTGAGCATAAAAAAAGAGATGAAGGCGGAATATTTCCTCCTGGGAATCTCTGATTTTGAATTAGAGGAAAATAAGGACAGACTTCTCTTCCACATGATGAGAGCGGCAAGGATAGTAGTGGCCAAAAAATGGAAGAAGAGTGAAATCCCAACAATAGACGAATGGACATGTAAATTACTAGATATAATGAATATGGATTGTCTAACAGAACATCTGAAAAATATGCAAACAAGGGTGAAAGGCAACGTCGACTGGTCCCCAGTCAAAACCTATTTCAATATCAACTAAGAAGGAAAAAGGGGAAGCTCGCGAAGGAAATCCTGCAAACACCTATACTAATCTGCACACCGGGCTCTAATCAATAGATTTAAATTGCTAACTTTGTCCCTCCTAAACCTCCGCCTCCCCGCACACCTCCCTTCTACTATCCCCGCACTCCTTCCTAACCCCCCCCACCCGCCCCCATCTTCACGCCCCAACCCCCTTTCCCACCACATCCACCCTACCCCTATCGAAATACTTTTATCTAATGTTACGTCGACGATTGACACTCCCTCGATGTACCCCTTTTAAAATCTTCAATAAAAACCATTATATATATATATATAAAGAATTAAATAGTATATTCAACATCACCTACTCAGTATGCCCAAACTGCAGCTCCCAGCATTCTTCACCACTAGCTATGTTGATAAAGACTGCAACAAGGAGGGCCACAATTTGTTCACCCCCACTACTGTCAAATGACTGCATGAGATCTACTTGGCAACATACTTTTGTATGTTACATGCCAAGCTGAGCTTTCAGTAGAGCCAATTTATACTACAGAGCAGTATTTCTCAATCTGTGGTCCTCCAGCTTGATTGAATTTTGGGAGCTGAAGTCCAAAACATATGGAGGACCAAAGGCTGAGAAGTATTGCTACAGAGCACGTTGGTATTTATTCAGAGCATCAATAAGCCAAGGGAAATAGCTATAAGCTTCTGGTGACCACCGGTACAGGAAACTTCAGAGTAATGACTGTCCCCTGTCCCGTTAGGTACATTAGGTCAAACTAGAATAGCTACTTTGAAAATAGACTGTCCATTTCCACCCAGTCTCCTTTAAACTAAAGAATAAATGATTTCCTTAAATAAACATCCCTCAAATGTGTTGTACCTATTTGAGTTTTTTTTTAATAGGCTGGACAATCTTATCTGCAACAGCTGCAATAGGTCAGAATTTTTCCACTAACTCATGCCTTTTTTAAAGTCATAAAAGCAGCATAAAAATGAGATGTTGCAATTGCTCTCAAGGATTAGGGATGGCCCAATGGAAAATAGATGAAGTCACATTTCCCAGCATGTGACAGGCAGGGAAACAAGACAAGGGTGTCTCTGGGAACAAGGGAGTCTTTGCATGGTGACATTTTTATTCATAAAGGGAACCCATTCTCCTTCTCTAATGGGAAAAAATCTACTAGTTAGATTTAATCTCTGGTGTTTGCTCACAATTACCACTATCCAAATGTAATGTTTCTTAGGGTACCCTTAAAGTTGAAGGATGTATGCACTGAAAACATTAAAAATATCAAGGTAGCAACTGAACATTAGTATAGCATAAGACAGCTGTCTATGCATGAGAAGATGAATACAGGACTGCCTTGGTTAAAGCTTCTAACAAAGATGTTCCTTTTTCCAAGTCTTTACGCCTGCACATTTCCCTTTTCTGTCCCTTCCTTCCTTCCTTCCTTC